TTTGAAAGACTGAAAGCTTGTTTTCTGGCAAACAGAGTTGGAACTTGATGTGGAAGGTCGATCCAAACATGTGGATGATGGGGCTAATGATAAGGGTCTTGAGGTGGATGGTAATGAAATGAAAGAGATAAAGAATGTGTTGATAGAGGTACAAGATGGAATGGTGAAGATGAATCAAACTATGGAAGAAAGATTTCAAAAGATAAGCAGTATGTTTGGTGGGTATGAAACAAGGCTCAAGACTGTGGAATCGTTTGTGAATTATCAGGGATGGAACGATAGGGATGATTTTGGTTTTGATGATTATCATCCTCGATCTAGGTTTTGGACTGATGGTGATTGCTCTGGTGGTTGTCGTAGACAGAATGATCTATTAGAGAAAGATCCGAAGACTGGACTAGAGAAGGATCCATCTGAGAAGGATCCATGTGAGAAGGATCCATTAGAGAAGGATCCGAAGGATCCATTAGAAAATGATCCAAATACTGGACTTGAGAAGGATCCATCTGATAAGGATCCAGAGAGTGGAGTGGAGAAGGAGACACAGGCAGAAGCTGAACTAGAGAAGGAGGTAGAGAAATTGGAGAAGGAGGCAGAGGCAACTGAAGTGGGGAAGGAGCCAGAGGCAGCTTAAGTGGAGGGGAGTGAATTGGAGAAGGAGCCAGAGGCAGCTGAAGTGGGGAAGGAGTCAGAGGCAGAAAAGAATGATGAAGTTGTGGGTGAGAAGATGATTAAGAAGAAAGCAGCAGCATTAAGGACTCCTTTCATGGAACCGAAGCCATCAAAGAAGAGGAAGAAGAATTGAAGAACTGATACTCATCCTCTTGAACTCTATCTACTATATTTTGGTTTTTTATGCAATTTGATTTAAGGACTACTAGTTCTTTTTATGGCAAATTGTGAACGTATCTTCGTTTCCAAACCGGATTTGGTGTTTGTACTACTTGTACTTTTAGGTAAAACTGTGAACTTATGTTTGTATTACTGGTACTTTTAGGTAAAACTGTGAAAGTATGTTTCATTCNAACATATATACAATCCAATAAAAACAGGTACAATAGAAGAACCAAACAAGTTTAACAAAATAATCCAAACTAGTTTAACAAAACAATCCAAAACATACAAGTATAATAGAACCAAACAAGTACTCATTCAACATAGCAATCCAAACAAACAAGTAGAATAAAAAAGTTTTCGTCGCCGTCTCCTTTTCATCTCTTTCAGCTCTTCAAACCCGTTTCCAAATTCGTCACCTTTGCTTGAAGATTGAAAGCCATTTCCTTTAGGTCATTGATTTCCTTGTCACTTCTTACAACTTTGGTTACCATCTCAATGAGTTTGTCGTTATGTTCCTTGTAAAGGTTGACCATCTCCTGAAGCTT